TTCCGGGTTTGGATAGAGACAGTCGGTTGGGCCCATACATCCAGTGGACACATCTTCAGGTGGGCACTGGTAGCCAGGAATGGGTCCTCCTATTTGTTACAATATTGTTAGGATTAATAAGTTAATTGAAATTTTATACAAATGAATACCTGCATTAATGAGGGTAAATGAGACAGCAATAATAACTATGCAACAAGTTAATTTGAGCATTTTGGCTAATAGTCTGTCCAACTCTTTGTTCATTAATTTTTATACATTTCACTTATCACTGATTATGAGGTAAATGAATAGTAATGTGATAGTTATTTATGAATTAATTGCCGGATGATTACGTGGTTAGCATTAATCAGTAATAATAAAAATCCAGATATATTTCACACACGGATTTACATGAATTACAATTCTGTTAGATATGACAGAATATTTAGTTTTTTGGGAACTATTAAAGTTTTCTAAAATAGTTTTGAAAACTTTCGCTGAGATCATAAAGTACCGTGATTATAATTATTTTATTAATTTTATAATAAACATAACTTCAAAAGAAATGCGCTAATAATATCTTGACAACCAGTGTAATTACATTTTAATAGTTTGCATTTTGTTATTTATTGATAACTAAAATATTTGGAAATGTCTCAAATGACTTTGTTTAGATATGTTTATATTGTTTTTGATAAAATTGAAATGCTTGTACAATTCTTAATTAATTAATTAGCACTCTCAATTCATAATTTATTACACATTTATTAAAAGTATTTCATTTATTGTAGCAATTCATACAGTATTGTTAACTGATTAATTGTTCAGTTTAATTTATTGCTATTAGTAAACAGTTGCTTAATGAAATTATATTAAAATTTATACAAAATTAAACCTATACAAATCTTAACGTTTTTAAAAATGATTTACAATTAAAGCTTTTGCTTAAAACCGTTTTTATTTCTAAACTACTATTTTTATTTCATAACATGATTATAATTTTTCCATTTAAACATTTTGTTTATATAATAATTGACTAGAATAATCTTATAAAAAGTTAATTTAAATAAAAAGTTTTAAATACATTAAATCATAAATAGGTGGTACGGTATCCAGTTCCTTTATTGGCATGTGGCGTTTGCGGGCCAATCACATATTTTCTCGTTGTCGTTCCACTTGAGGTCTGCGGGACAGGGCATCACAACCGGAGTTCCCGATTGATTGCCCGGATTGACAGTACACTGAATGAAAGTATTGCAGTTCTCGGGGTTAGTGTAGAGACAGTCTTTGGGTCCCCTACACAGCGTGTTTACGATGTCCTCTCGGGGGCACTGGAAAGGAGGTCTGGATGTGGTTGGAGCCGGTGTTGGGGCTTCAGTTGGGGCTTCAGTTGGGGTTTCAGTTGGGGCTTCAGTTGGGGCTACAGTTGGGGTTTCAGTTGGGGCTTCAGTTGGGGCTACAGTTGGCTTATTAGGACAGGTAGAGTTTACGGGCCAATCACACACTTTCTTGATGTCGTTCCACTCCAGGTCTGCGGGACAGTCCTTCACTGTCGGTCTACCGGTCTGTCCGTCAGCGTTAACCTCGCAGTGAATGAATTTATTACAGTCTGTTGGGTGAGGGTATAGACAGTCTTTAGGGCCCATGCATTGGGTGTTCGCGATATCATCGACAGAGCACACGAAACCGGGTAATGGTGTTGTGGGCTCTGGTGTAGGCTCTGGAGTCGTAGGCTCTTCAGTAGTCGTAGGCTCTTCAGTCGTAGGCTCTGGAGTCGTAGGCTCTTCAGTAGTCGTAGGCTCTTCAGTAGTTGGTTCAGGTGTTGTGGGCTCGGGTGTGGGCTCGGGTGTGGTTGGCGTTACCACACAATTGGCGTTTGCAGGCCAATCGCACTCCTTTGTAGCGTCATTCCAGTGCAGACCTCCCGGAGCGCAGGGCATGTCATACGCCAGTCCCGCGTCATTACATTGTATAAAACGACTGCAATCTCTGGGATTGGGATATAAGCAGTCTTTGGGACCCCGACAAAGAGTGTTATCAATATCCTCCTGAGGACAGGGATACCCGGCAATGATTGGGTTGTCGAGCGCTAATTAGAAAAATATTATATTTAATAAAATGTTAACCATTATTGAAACGAATTGACTGACCCTTTCCCAACCCATGTGCGACCAACAGCGCAAACACTACCGTTTTAGTCAAATAACTCATTATGTGTTTCAATGTATTATCTAACCGTCAGTTTAACTCCGAAATCGGCTGAAACTGACTTTGCATTGAATTCTCCCTCATATTTATATTAAAATATAATCGCATCTCAAGTCAATTGAATTGCATTTCGCACTCATATTATAAATTTTGAATAAATCCTTAAATCTCTAAATCCTTTTGATGTCAAATGTGTGTGACGCTAAGTTTTTGTGGGTAACCTATCATTTACCCTTATTATCACCACTGGGACGACCAAGCTTACATTATGCTATCCCCGAATTATTAAAATTGTTAAATTTTTAAAGAAATTTGTTAATGATATAATAATAATATTTAAAAGTTATTCTATAAATTATATAACTTTGTAAAATTAGTATTTAATAATCTTATGGTGTTAAATTGTATAAAGTTTGAGACTGCTTATTTTATGAACCCCGAGACCTTATTGTACTAAAAATCAAAGTTTAATCTAAATAATTAATTTATGGGCCTTTCGAGTTGATAATACATTGGTATTGCATTTCAATATTAATAGATTATTGTAGATAGATTGTATATAATAATTACCGGTAATTACCATTTTTAACAATTTTTTCAGCAATGTTTGTAACACATACGGTAACTGTTACTAGAAGTCCTTGTACTTGATAATATAGTGATTTATAGGCCTGCTTTCCTTTATGAATGAAATTCTAATATAATAAATTCATCAAGTTATTGTCAGTTATATTACTGTATTGGTATTATAATAATGTATTATATAAGTGCATTGTATAACAAATATAAATTAATCTAATATAAAATTTATTTAATTAAAGAAATACTATTCTAAAAATTTAAAACTTGATGGAAATTAAACATGATTAAATTTACATATTTTTCATAAAAATCCTGTAAAATATTTATTAATTAATCTATTCACTATAAATACCCAGTGGATACTACATTATAAAGCACTGGTAGCCAAAATTAGAACCAATATGAATATTATGAATTAAAGCAATTTGATTTTAAAATCAAAATAATATCTAGAACAATATGTGCATAAATAACTAGACACCAGGTCATCCCGATCATTGTGGCTATAAGCCTGTCCAATTTTGTGTTCATTAATTTTAATACATTTGAAGAGTCGTAATGCAAGTGTAAGAGATTAGATATTTACGAATTAATTACCTGGATGATTACGTTACACGGTTAGCTTTAATCAGTAGTGAAATATCTTTTTAAATGAACTAAAAATTTCGAATTAAATTTTAAGTTTTAATTTATTATTCATTTTTTTTGTAAAACATTAATAAAGTTTTAATTATATGTAAATATTGTACTCTACTTACAAGCTAGTACAGTGCATTTATTGTTTTGATAAAGTGTACAAAAGTGTAAAGTGTAAAGTGACCCGTACAATTATTGCTGTTACACTTTTATTTTAAAAACTGTTTCATTTATTATAGTAATTTATTTAAAATTATCAAAATACTTCTATTATATTTATAGTATTAAATCATTTGTATTTAAATCATATGCTTGAATAAAATTTTATTAAAACTAAAATAACATGCAAATCATACAAATATAGGTAAAACAAAATAAACCAAAAAAACTTTCGACAACTTTTGCATAAAAATTGTGTTCACTTCTAATCTACTAACTTTATTTCATAACATGATTATATATTTTTCAATAAACATATTTCATACAATTTGACTAGAACAATCTTATAAAAGCAAAGTTATTATAAGATCATTTAAATGCATTCAATGGTGGGACGGGAGGGACGGCATTCAGCGCCTATAGTGACGGCAAGTGGCGTTTGCGGGCCAATCACATCGCTTGATGTTGTCGTTCCACTTGAGTCCCGCGGGACAGGGCCTCACGAGAGGAGTTCCCGATTGGTTACCGGGATTGACAGTACACTGGATATAAGTACTGCAGTCCGCGGGGTTAGTATAGAGACAGTCTGTGGGTCCCATACACAGCGTGTTTATGATGTCCTCTCGGGGGCACTGGAAGGGTGGTGGGGCCGGGTTTGTGGGCTTCGGTGTGGTTGGTCTGGGTCTAGTAGTAGTAGGTCTGGGTCTAGTAGTAGTAGGTCGGGGTCTAGTAGTAGTAGGTCTGGGTCTAGTAGTAGTAGGTCGGGGTCTACTAGTTGTTGAAGGTCGAGTTGGTGGTTGTGTCGGAGGGCGTGTGGGGGCAGCTGTTGGTCGTTGAGTCGGGGCATCAGTGGGTGCTTCGGTGGGTGCTTGTGTAGGGGCATCGGTAGGTGCTTGTGTAGGGGCATCGGTAGGTGCTTCTGTAGGGGCATCAGTGGGTCTTTGTGTTGGACAGGAACAAACAGGACAGCCTCCAGGTGTGGTGATTGAGGCCAAAGTGGTTGTGGGGGCGTCGGTCTCCACTGGGGCCAAAGTGGCGTTTGCGGGCCAATCACATCGCTTGATGTTGTCGTTCCACTTGAGTCCCGCGGGACAGGGCCT